CTCGGGGGGCCGCCCGCCCGCCCGGGTCTCCTGGTTACTCGGCAACTCGGACCTGAACGGGACGTTCGGCGATAGCCGGAAGTCGGGGCCCCTGCCGGGCACGGTCACCGTCGCCAGCCTCCTTTCCGTGGTGCCCTCGAGCCGGGTGCACGGCAAGCAGGTCGTGTGCAGAGTGGAGCATGAGACTCTGGCGGAGCCGGAAGCGCTGCCTGTCAACCTCTCCGTGCCCTGTGAGTACGGCGACCGCCCTGCACCCCGCTGTCCACACCCGCACCTGCGTCCCTGCGCGACCCTACACTGCCTTCCCCGCCCCAGGTCCCGGCGGCTACACCCACTCCTCCTCCGTTTGCTACATGGCCCTACCTTTGTCCTCACGGGCTCCCCTGAACATCGGGAAGCACTGGCCCCGCTCCCCACACCCACTCCTTAGGCCACCAGCCGTGGGGAGTTGTCACTCTTCTCAGTTTTCCACGAGTCATCCATTAAAAGACGATGAAGAGATGGCGCTCACCATGGTGATACACACCTGTAATGCCAGCTACTTAGGAGGCTGAGGCAGGAAGGTTGCAAGTTCAAGGCCAGCCTGAGCAATTTAGGGTGACCCTGTCTCAAAAATAAAATAAATAGAGGCAGGATTGCAGCCAGGTGGCAGAGCATTTGTCCTGCGTACAAAGGCCCTGGGTTCCACCCCCAGCACTGAGGCACAGGGATTTATTTTCATAGTGGATTTTATGTAAATCAGTATGTCCAAAGTGTTATTATTTTAAGCAATTGTTTTTTTAAAACCGTTCTTGCCAGGCGTGGTGGCTCACGCCTGTAATCCCAGCACTCGGGAAGCTGAGGCAGGAGGATCACTGTGAGTTCGAGACCAGCCTGGGCTACATAGTGAGTTCCAGGTCAGTCTCAAAGACCCTGTCTCAAAACAAAATAAATAAAAGTCAGGTGTGGTGGCACATGCCTATAATCCCAGCACTTGGGAGGCTGAGGCAGGAGGATCACTGTGAGTTCAAGACCAGCCTAGGCTACATAGTAAGTTCCAGGTCAGTCTCAACTACATAGTGAGACCCTGTCCCAAAAAAAAAAAAAAGACCGTTCTTGATGGGCCGCTGATTTAGCTCAGTGGTTCCACCATCTGCCTCGCAAGAGCAAGGACCCGTGGCAGCCTTCGAAATTGGGTGGCATTTCAGGACAGCCGTGTCTGAAGTGTCCCAGGGTCACAGCTGGCTGACAGCTGTCACACTGGACAGCACAGATCTCGGCTCCCACCCATTTCTCCAACTCCCAGGGACACTCTCTGTGCTGGTGCTGTCCCCAACACTGTCACACTGGCTCCCCAGGAGTGACCTGTCCACAACAGCTACCTCTCTGCTTTCCCAATACTCTGTCCACAATGTGCCAGGCAACAGCACACCCAGGCCTTCCTAGGCACTCACCATGCTGTCCCCCATCCCTGTCTGTGCTGGCTGCTCCCACCCAGGCAGTTGAGCAACAGGTTCTCCTTGAGGGAGGAGGACATTGGTAGTGACTGGCACCTGCCTCCTCCCCACTCCACAAACAGCCCTGTGCTGCTGGCCTGGCCCCTGAGGACTTAGGATAGTGTCCCCTGCCATCGCACTGAGGCAGAGAAGCAGGGGACTCCTTTCTGCAGGATTTGTCAGAACCTTGAATGTTAGGGGTATCCCAGAGGTCTTTGCTCACGGGACACTCCAGGCAGGCCAGGATGAGAAAAATGGGCACAGAAAGGCAGGTCCTGAGGAGCCCCTTCTGTGTGCCTTGTCTGAGGACAGCCAGGTCTCTGCTCTCTGAGGGAACCCTGGCCCCAGACTCCTCCCAGACTCCTCCAGCTGGGGGCTCCCCAACCCACTCAGGCCTGTTCCTGCTGTGAGGTGAAAGCCCACAATTCCTCAGCCCCTATGAAGGCTCCCCATCCCTGAGCCCATGTGCCTGTTCCCTTCAGACCTACCTGAGGTGTCCATCTCCGGCTATGACCACAACTGGTACCTCGGCCGCAGCGAGGTCACCCTGAACTGTAACGTCCGCAGCAACCCAGAGCCCCGGGATGTGGTCTGGAACACGTGAGTCTAGTGGCCTGGGTCTGAGGGAGGGAGGCTGGGGCGGAGCCCTGGGCCTGCGGGGTGAGCAGAATAGAAGAGAGTAAAGAAAGAAAGCGGGCAGGCACAGCCCAGCAGTTTTTCTTCCTGCCACTGCTCTGCTTGGAGGTATTTAGTCCGGGCTGCTGATGCCCAGTCTCCACGCCACTGTCCTGAGCTGAGCACCAGCCTCCCATGTGACCCCAGGAGCCAGCACTGCAGCTGCCCACTTAAAGTTCAACTACAGGGCTGGGCCAAGTGCCTCAAATCCTAAGCCCCACAAAAACAAAAACAAAGATCAACAACAGTCTCAAATCCTGTCTGGCTCCAAACTCGATTCTCCCCGAGCTATCTGCTATTACCTTTTGTTATATGTCCTGCAGGCCATTTTTTGTTCCCAAACAAAAACTAGAACTGTATTGTATGTGCGCTTTTGAAAACTTCCCTCTGTCTTGTGAACACTTTTCCGTGTCAAAGCACATAAATCCACAGCTCCATGTTTTCCAACACTTTATAAGGGAAACTGTCACACATACAGAAACGTCACGAGAAATTCCCAGCGACCGTGCTAGATGGCCCCCTTGGGGACAGTGGCTGCCCTGGGAGGAGTAGCGGTCATGGTTCCTCAGGGGTGGTGCTGCTTCCTGTCTAGCTGCCAGACCCATGGGGGTGTCTGGATTCGGGACCCACAGCCCACAACTTGGGCTCTGCTCTTTGACTACTGGGCCCAGGTCACTAACCACACACTCTGGTGAACACGACAGGGCTACTCCCCTCCCCTTGTGGACGCCCATTCTAGAGGGGGAAGGAAAATAAGTAGATAGGCCGGTGGAATACATAATGTACTAGATTTTTATGCACGTTATGGAAAGTAAAAGCGGAAGGGCTAGGAGCTTGGCTCCTACAGTGCTTACCTACTTCTGTCCCCAGCACCACCAAGGGCAGATAAATAAAATGTTGAAAAAGGGGGAGGGGTATGGAGAAATGGGGGCGCAGTGATGATGTCACCCAGGTGACTTCTCAGCAGAGGCCTGGGGGCGGAGGGGCGTGGGTGGGCACCTGGGGCAAGAGCATTTGCAAACAGCCTGGAAGCACCTGCGGAGGGTTTGAGGCTCAATCTAGAGGCCGCTGTGGGGACAGTGAGGCAGCACAGAACGATAGACAGTGCGGGCGGAGGCCTGGAGACAGGTACAGGCGGTGGGGTCGGGACTCAGGTTTTACTCGGAGCAGAGGGATCTACACCGATTTGGGTCGCGGGCGCCCCCTGGTGGCCAGGTAGGGGGCAGACGGGGCGAAGGCAGAAAAGGGCAGGGAAGGCGCCCCACAGGCCCTGAGTAGGCCGGGATTCTCCGTGGGTTTAGAAGGCAAGGTCGGCAGGATTTGCTGATGGCTTGGACGTGGCTGGGAGAGGAGGAGGACTCCGGACTGCTCCCAGGTTGTCGCTGTTGCTGTAGGGCCTCAGCGGAGGCCACTTCCTCTCCTGTCCGTCTCCCCCAGGACCACGGGAACCCTGCCACTCTCTGCTGAGCCCCAGAAGAGGCAGCTCCTGATCCGCACGATCGATGAGTCCATCAACACCACTTTTGTTTGCCTGGCCACCAACAGCGTAGGGACTGGCCAGGGCAAGCTGACAGTCCTGCTTCAAGGTGAGGAGTTGGGAGCAGGGGTCAGGGCGACCCGAAGGAGGGGGTGGCAGCAGGATCGCCCACAGGCGAGGTCTGAGTGTGGTTCCTGGCAATGGGAATCCGGCTGTGACTCCCGTGCCTCTGCTAAGCCCTGTCAGGAAAGAACTTTACTTCCTGTTAACCCAGCATCTGTACCACCAGTACTACTCTTCAGCCACCCAGCTGAGGCTGGGGCAGGTGGAGGAAGCCTCTTTCTAGGTCTCAGAGAAAGCCTTTCCTATGGTCTTAGGCAGAGCTGTATTGATTGCATTTGACAGAAGCCTGATTCAAAAGAATCCAAGCCCCGCCCAAAAAAGAACTTTAGTGAAAATACACCTTCAGGTGTAGTTAGATCCAGGTGCTCCAGCCAGGTAATGAAGGAACTTTTCTTTATATTGCTTCTCTGATTTCTTTATGCTGATTTTACTCTCAGGTAAGCTCTGCACCCTCAGCACTGTGGGAGTTAACAGGAATCCCAGGAGTAGAAATACCGCTTTCAATAGCTCTCACCAAAACCTCAGTGTCACTGGGGCCCCAAGCCACTGGGTCCCAACTATCTGGATCCTTTCACCTGCCCACCATCAAAAGTATGAGAAAAGCCCATATAAGTGAGAAAATCGGCTTACTTACAATTTGACCAAAGAGGGAAGGTAGCTAGTCTGCCTTACAAATTGTAAGTAAACCTGGCACACGGGAGCACTCTGATTTTTAGGAGGGCTAGAAACAGTCAGGAAACAGGCATCTGCAGATCCTACCGGACTTTGGACTAGCAGCAGACCCAGGAAAGCATCGAAGATTCCTGGCCCCCAGAACTGGTAGTGGAAGAGTTGGCTATCCACATGAGGAGGCTACGGAAATATTTTCACTTTAAAATCTCAACTTTTTAAACTGGATGTGCTGCCTCGTGCCTGTCATCCCAGCACTCTAGGAGGCTGAGGCAGAGGATCACAACTTCTAGCCCAGCCCGGGCAGCTTAATGAGTTAGTGAGATCCTGGGACAAAATAGAAAATGAGAAGAGGGCTAGGGGTGTAGCTCAGTGCAAAGGGCCTGGGTTCATCCCCCAGTACAAGGAAGGGTGAGAGGAAAGAGGGGAGGGAGAGAAAATACCAGTTTTGCAAGAGAGAGAGAGAAAGGGAAGGAAGGGAGGGAAGGAGGAAGGAAGGAGAGAGAGAAAGAAAGAAAGAAAAAGAAAGCAAGCAAGCAAGCAAGCAAGCCCGGTTTAAAAAAATCAATTTCCACTTCATCAAGGTTGGCTCTCATTGGCCCCTCTTAGGTCATAGCCCACTTATGAACCAATCACAGCAGCCAGAGAGAATGGACTGTTCTGATTGGCCAGGCCTAGGTCGCGGTCGGCAGCTCTGCTGGCTTCCAATGGGCTGGAGCCTTCTAACCCAAGGCCGGCAGGTGGGCGCCCCCTAGAGGAAATCTGGGCCATGACAATAATGGTCAGTGTGCCAGGCCTTTCTTACTTGAATGTCTGTTCCTTCCTCTCTTCCAGAGGCACCACTTGGGGACAAGTCAGGCCCCAGGACAAGTATCATCATAATCGTGGTGCTGGTGTCTACTTTTGTAGTCATCTTGTCTGGTTACTATTACTACAGACGCCGTGGTGAGTCCCCACCTCCCCACCCACCCGAGGGCTCAGCACCCACTGAGCATCCACAGCGCAGCAGCTCCTACTGTGTGCCAGCCTCGGCCCCACAGCCCCCACGTGCAGCCTCTCATGGAGCACTAGGCCCCCAAATCCTGAAGTTGCCCTCATTTGAGAGACAGAACTGGAGCCTAGGGAAAGGAAGGCCCAGGAAGGCACAGGTAGGGCTGTCCAGGTCTCAACTGTGTCTCCAGCACCACCTGATGCCAGGACGGGCACAAGAAGAACACTTAGAGGAGTGTTTGCTGGGAGCCAGGCATGGTGGCGCACCCAGCACTCAGGAGGCTGAGGCAGGAGGATCGCTGGGAATTTTTGTGTTTCGTTCCCAGCTGTATCAGTGTCTCAGATGCACCTGGTGCAGAGTGGACACTTACTGTCTTCTGAATAAGCCTGTTTGGTAGTTGAGGAAACTGAGGCACAGAGTGCCTAGGTCCAAGGTCACACGGCTCCTAAAAGGTAGAGAGGGGACTTCAGTGCCTTTGCACACAAAATATTTTATTTCTGTTTCATAACCAACCAAATAACTGGATGCCGGCTCCTCGGAGAGCACATGCTCCGTCCCCGGGAGGGAGACTCCCTCAGTATCCACCGCGGAGGCAGGCGTAGGGCTGTGGGGTGCAGACGCCCCCGGCACTGCCGCCCCTCCTGACAGCCTTTCCTCCCTCTCCCCAGGTCGGCGCCCAGCCCGCTCCTCGGCGAATGGTGTGAACAGGGTGAGATGCGGGGTCACTGTGAACCACAGGCCCACGGCCGGGCTGCTCACAGGGCGGGGGAGGCATCGGGAGCCTGGAGCCTGGGTGTTTTCTCCTGTTGCCCTGATGTAGCTTCTGCTGCTGAGCAGAAACCCCATAGAGTTCGCTAAACGAAGCCCCTGGGATCGCATTTTATAATGTCAGAGAGACAGGGCAGGGCGGGCAGCTCTCCACACATTTCTTTCTTTCTTTTTTGTTTTGTTTTGGTACCTGGGCTCAAACTTGGGTTCTTGCACTTGCGAGGCAGGCAGTGGCACCACTGAGCTAAATCCCCGGCCCTCTCCACACATTTCTTTTGAGTGCAGACTCTGGTTTTGTCCCAGAGAGCCCAAGGCTAATGTGACTGTCCCTCCTCTAGGACACATATTTGAACATGCAAGCCCAGACCAGCTCCCTGGAGGACACACCAACAGGGGGCACAAGGTGACACAGGGACTGGCTGGACCCTGCCGCCATGGCTGCCGGTGCCTCCAAAGGGACGACGGGCCACCTGCCCCACCAGACCTCACCCTGTGACCGTCTCCCAGGGTGCTGGACGGCACAGGTTCCATTGAGGACACAACAAGCTCAGAAATACCATCCACTCATGGCTACTGTGGGTCTCAGCAAAAGGATGGAGATCAGAATCAGCCAAAAAAAAAGCCACACAGGACAGAGTCTGGGGGGGACCAGGGCCATTGCCCCGCTGCCTGTCCCTAGGGAGCCACAGGAACAGCACAACTCCCAGCAACTTGTGGGAGGCCTTCACGGCCAGGCTCCTAGTTGGGGCCGGCTCCATGTCCTCCCCATCCGCCTGGCCCTGGCCCCGCCAGCATGGACACCCCTAGTGTGGGCACCCAGGCAAACTGTCTGGCAGGCTGTGCGAGGGCTTCAAGGTGACCTCCCAGGCACAGGGACAAAAGGCCAGGTCTCCCCGTGGGCCGGGCTAACCCTGTACTGCACAATGGCCCACGCTGGACCTTCCTGCTGCCGAGAAGTTTGGCCTCTGGCATTGAACTTCTAACCCTCTACCTCCGTCCGGTCCCTGGAGTTACAAGGAACGGAGGCCCCAGCGCCTCCATTAAAACCTATTTATTTTTATATCTCAGGTGGCTCCCTGCAAGGGGTCTTCAGTAGGAATCAAGGGGGATGGAGTTTTGTTTGGCGGTTGCCATGTGGGGCAGAAACCCGGGTGCGGGTATAGGGCCCTGAATCAAGAGGACACCAGAATCTCCCCTGCAAGGGGCCTCAACGCCTCTCTGCTGCCGTCTCCTTCCCTCCCCACCAATTGGGTAGCACAGACAAGTTAGAAAAACCCACTAGGGATTCATTCCGACTTCGCTCTTTGCACGCAGGCATCCGGTTTTAAACAACCTTGTGAATGTTGTTAATGCCACCAGTTGTTCAATTAAAAATGGTTCAGAAGGGCAGGGATTTAGCTCAGGGGTTCCGCCGCCTGCCTTGCAAGCGCAAGGACCTGAGTTCGATCCTTGGTACCAAAAATAAATAAATAAATAAAATTTAAAATTATAAAAATGGTTTAGGTGCTCAGCGGTGCCACCATCTGCCTTGCAAGCGCAAGGTCCTGAGTTTGATCCCCGGTACCAAAAACACATAAAGAAATAAAGAAATATGGCTCACACAGAAGCCGGGAGCAGTGGCACACACCTGTCATTCCAGCACTCTAGAGGCTGAGGCAGGAGGATGGCAAGTTCAAAGTCAGCCTAGGCTACAAAGTGAGACCCTGCCTCAAAAAACACCCCACCCAACAAACCAGGGTATGGTGTCACAGGCCTGTGATCCCAGCGTTCCAAGAGGCTGAGCCAAGAGGATTACGAGTTTGAACATAGCAAGACCCTGTATTGAAATAAAATAAAATAAATAAATGGCCTGGGAACATAGCTTAATGTAAAGACCCCAGGCTCAATCTCTAGTATAAAAAAATAAAGCCAACAGGTCCAATTTTGTTTTCTCTATTTTACACAATCTTTTTTTACAAAATGAATTGTGTCATACCAAAAAACCAAAATGTCAAGGGCACCACTGAGCTAAATCCCCAGGCAACCCCTCCCCCAAGTTTTTGGTTGTTGTTTTTGAGGGGGTACCAGGTATTGAACTCAGGACCTTAGTCTTGCAAGGCAGGTGATGGAACCACTGATTTGCTGTGAACCAGTGAATCAGTCCTATTCGCGCAAACTTAGTAGCTTGAAAGACACAGAATCAGCGCTGTGAGAGCGGCTCAGGGGCTGAGCACTTGCTCAGCGGGAGCCAGGCCTCGCTCCATCCCAGCCCCCAACAGCATCAATTCTGCCCCAGCCCTGGAGGCTGAAGTCCAAAATGAGTCCAGCGGGCCACCGTCAGGGGTCAGCAGGCACCTGCTCCATCCCGGAATCCGAGGGGAAAATCCGGTCCCTGTGCCTCCCAGCTTCAAGAAGCCGCCTGCAGTCCTCAGCTCGCCATCCCCCATCCAGCTGTGACCCTCCGTCCCCTATGAGGACCCCACGGCACTGCAGGGCCCGCCGGGTAACATGAGGCCATCGCCCCACAGCCAGAGCCTCAGTCCCATCGGCAAACTCGCTTTGCCAAGTTTCCTAACACAGTCACGGGGCCAGGTCAGGAGGAGAAGGAAATGCGAAGCAACTGCTGAACGGGTCTGAGGTTTCCCTCTGGAAGGTGGAAATGTTCTGGAAGGAGACAGCACTAATGGTTACACAGCACTGTGATCATTACTGAATGCCTCCGAATTGGATCCTTTTATCAAAATGGGAGGTTTTAGGTGCATTTTACCACAGAGGAAAAATAATTTTTTATGAAAAAAATTTGTCTTCCTCGTTCCTCGTTGACTGGCAGAATTCTCAGGAACAAATTTAAGTCATGAGCTGAGGAATGAATTACGTAAAAAGGTAATGGTGAGGATGCTTCAACCCCAACAGCAGAAGTTGCACCCCGCCCCGCCCCCTGCAGGCCGGTATTAAAAACAAGGACCTGGGCCGAGGATTTAGTTCAGTGGCATCAGGTCCGCCTCACAAGTGCAAGTTCCTGAGTTCAATCCTCCATACTAAAAAAAAAAAAAAAAAAA